ATTATTGCTTAAAATAAAAAAAAATTACTTTAATTAATAGAATAAAGAAATTATCCGAAAGTTCTCTACCAATTATACTGTTAATCCAAGCCGTGTCCAAGTCTCTAGAGATGTAATAGTGTATCCTAGTGATTAATGTTGTGTTTGCCTTCTTCAAATTTGCATTAACATTTTTCAAAAAATGTTTAAAGTCACGAAAGTACTCTATTAATGAATTTCAAACATAATGAATGAAAAGCTGAACATTCTCTTGATAACGTTCATAAAATTTGGCACGTTTCTGCCGCTTCTTAATTAAAATAATTATTGATTATTACAAGTTACTTATTAAAGGATACGAAATTTTTGCTGGGATCATCGGACATCACTTGCTAAAGATTCGCTACTAAACGATGAATAATCGTCTTTCATACATCGTCGATATTAATATTTTATTAAAAATTCTATGAATAGGTAGTACATCGATAAAGTTATTAAGTAAATATTAAAATTAATACCCAAATCAATAAAATATATTGATGATAAAGATCGTTTTGTAAAGTTTAACAAATAAATTAAAGTCAAATTCGATTTAGTGCCACAGTTTTTTTGCTTGAGATTGACACTAAATCGAGTATGGCGCTGTATTGGAGTAACTCAAACAATAAGAATTATATAATGAGGTTGATATACTTGTTAATTTTAGAAAGTCGCGTGATTTAGTGATAATGCCGTTTGCAATTAAAATCGTAAATTTAGTAATTTACAAGCATTCAAGGGGTTCTCTATTTAATATTTATGAGACAGATTCGTTTACAAGTATTTATGGATGCTTTACAGAGGTGGCGTTACGTAGGAAGGTGCTATTTCAAAATTTGACTGCATTAGAAATGGAAACAAATACGAAATTTATAGTCTTCAGTAGCGCGTTATCCTATGGGCAAAAAGGGCAATTGCTCGTGGCCTCCATTAATATAGAACCAAACTAATCTTTTATAACAATACATTTCCTCCCGAAAAATTCTCCCGAAGAAAAATGTATGAAGTCAACATTGTATTGTACAATAAATGGAGTCCCTAATTCAAATTTACTTGGACACCATGAAACTACAACGCGCCACTGATAGTCTTACATGCCCTTTATAGCTATTGGAACCCAATTAAAATAACAAACTCGATATCTTTTCTTACTGCATGCTCTTGCCATCTTACGTACAGTAAGTTAGAATTGCTTTATTGTCTTCCTAGTGTTGGCTTCTTCCAAAATTTCTCTAAAATTGTAAAAATTTAGGACAAAATATTACAAATGAAGACAGACAAAATCAATAGTCTTTACATACTTTTTATATATAAGTTTATGTATCTACGAAGGGCGAAGATTAATTTGTAATATTTCAATAAATATTTTATGTAAATTTTTAAATTATTCAAATAAATATTACATAAAGACGTGATTAATAGCAACCTTTGTGATTGACAGATGATCAACACGTTTGATAATCACTCATCTAGGCCTAAATGATATCCTGTAGTATATTATTTATTTCAAAACAAACACTCAGTTATCAGAGACTATTCAATAACTTCATAAATCAAAGGAGATGGAATTTTTACGGTTATTGATAATCAGACGGTTATCAATAATCAGTGACTTGTCACGAAATGATTATAAAGTGATCATTAACATGAAATCCGAATAAGTGAATGAAGTTATTGTTAACAATACACCTCATACCATAATTCGCTAGAGATTCATTTGTTGTCATCATTTTGATTGATGGAGTATCATAATTCTAGTTTAGAAGTATTTTATTTTCTAAAAATAGAAATAATATACTTCGAAAACCGTCCAGTTAAGTCATTTGATGGAAATTTATTGATATTCATTTTATATTGTAAGTATATTATACCCGAAATTTTATCTTAATACTTCTATAAGAAACTTCTTAATAAATATTTTATTAGTAATATTTATTGAAGAATTAATTTGATTTCTTGAAATTTTTAAAATTTTATATTAAAAAACTTAATACATTTTAATTTAAAGATCTATTAAGACTTAAAACTTACACATATTAATAAAATATTATATAAAATAAAAATTTTGTTTGCAATTTTGAAGTAAATTTACTTATTTTACTCTAAAATATTTAATTACTTCTAAATTATTTTATTAAATTTTATTGCCATTATAAAAGATAATATTTTATAAGTTAGAAAATAATGATGTAACATCATTTGGGTTATTTTTTTTAATCAAAAAATCTAATAATTGATTAAAGTCAATCAAACCTCGATATAGTGACCTACAAAATAATGTCAATGGATATTTGTGAACGGATCTTCCCTATAAACGTTAAATAGAAAACCTTTCAGTGTATGTACTAAATTTATTTTTGCATTTGAAACGACATTTAACATCGCCAAATCAAGTGACTCATTATCGTAGATAACTCTTACTTCAGTTTAGCGCCATACTCATTTTAGAGCCAATTTCAGAGCAAATGATGGCATTAAATCGAAGTTTGACGGTATAAATATGATGATAATTAGTTAATTAATCTTGTAAATATCGACTCATTCAATCACACCCCACAACAAACCATTAAATTAAGAAACCAATTAATTTTTATATTTGATTTTTAATTTCTATTATAAATATCAATAAATGTTATTATTAAATTTTTAAAATATACGTTTTAATAAGAAAACTTTCTAGAAATGTAATGAAACAACAACATTATTTTTTATCATTCGGAAACGAAATCGAAATTGCTGTAGGATATTTTTATATCTGTCTTAAAAATTTTAACTTTCTTTCCAACCCTTAGTAACGATCGAACAAATGATATCCAGTTGAAGAGACTTCTATTCACTTGTAACTAAAATTGTTTTTCAGTTATATTGCTCCACATATTCTTCTGAGAGAAATGCACACTCCAGTAACGTCATTGGCATACCGAGCTTGTGAATTTTCGAATTATGAATATTTCAAGAATTTTATTTATTTTTTATTTTTTTATAATAAAAAAAAAGAAATTATTTCGTCAGAAAATTGTTTTCAAATATTTCTACTGTTTTTGTCAACTTTAATTATTTTAATATTTTATTTGCAAGAATAAAATCCTAATTTTATCATTAAACTAAGAAAATGTAATTAAAACGTTTGGTTTTTTTTTCGTTATTTTCATTTGTATCAATTTGTTTTAAAAATTCAAGCAGAGAAATAAATGAAAACTCGACAGAATTCTATAATTTAACATCTTTAACTTGAGTCGCTTATTAAAACTTTTCATGTTATAAATAAAATATATGATGAAAAAGACTTTTAAACTAAGATTTCGACTTTTTAACACGTTAATTAAAATTAATTTAAATTTAAAAGTAGTATAAAATTTACTCGAGAAGTAATTTTATGAATGGGCTAAATTTATTATTTATATTTTAATTATTTCAAATTTAAATTATATTTATTTTAAAATGTGCTTTAAGTTATCTTACACAGCCAAACTTCGATTTAATACCACCGTTTATTTGCCTCTGAAATTGGCACTAAATCCAGTGTGGCGCTAAACTGAAATATTTAGAATTGTATATATCGATCTCATAACTATATAAAAGTTTGAAAGTTACATAGTTTACTCATAACAAAGTCGTTTGCAATGTAAAATCGTACATTTAATAATTCACAGATATTGAAGGATTCTTTGATTAATATTTATGGAAAAGGTCGGTTCACAAGTACTCACTGGTGCTTGACAAGAATAACGCTACTTATACAGTCAAAACCTCACTATATTGCCCTCTTAAGGTTTGACTGTATTACAAATATACAACCAAACTTCGATATAACGTCTCTCTTAAAGAGCAAACGAATAGTTAAAGATCTTCCTCGTAAATCGTTCAATACTGCAAATTTCAATTTTGCTGTAACCAAATCATCCTCAAATTCAAAGTGATTGTAGAAACCTAAATTCAAACATGATTATAGACTTGTTAACCTGTCCAAAACGAAACCTTAATAAAACAGAAACATGCTAAACGGGATAAATTCTTATGAACACAGAGATTTTCTGTGTCAAATAGAAACTGTTCAAAACAGAAACCTGCCAAACTGAAAAAATATTTGGTATCATAAGCGTCCGGTTTACAAAGATTTTACTGTATATATTATTCTTATTGTTTCAGATACTTTAGTTTAGCGTCATACTCGATTTAGTGCCAATTTTAGAAGCGAATAAATGAGGATGATAAATTGCGAAGGGCGAAGATTAATTTGTAATATTTCAATAAATATTTTATGTAAATTTTTAAATTATTCAAATAAATATTACATAAAGACGTGATTAATAGCAACCTTTGTGATTGACAGATGATCAACACGTTTGATAATCACTCATCTAGGCCTAAATGATATCCTCTAGTATATTATTTATTTCAAAACAAACACTCAGTTATCAGAGACTATTCAATAACTTCATAAATCAAAGGAGATGGAATTTTTACGGTTATTGATAATCAGACGGTTATCAATAATCAGTGACTTGTCACGAAATGATTATAAAGTGATCATTAACATGAAATCCGAATAAGTGAATGAAGTTATTGTTAACAATACACCTCATACCATAATTCGCTAGAGATTCATTTGTTGTCATCATTTTGATTGATGGAGTATCATAATTCTAGTTTAGAAGTATTTTATTTTCTAAAAATAGAAATAATATACTTCGAAAACCGTCCAGTTAAGTCATTTNTATTTTTGTATTATAATTACAAATAATATCTTTACGTACCGTACAGTACAGTACATATATTCACTTATACAGTATTATAGTATTAAAATACTATCAATATATTGCATTTCCTATGGCCGTCTGCGTGGCTTGTTTTTGACATCTATTTTTATAATCGAAAGGTCATTATTGCTATTTGGATCGCATCGTTTGTTGCTGCTATACCAATCATATTTACTCAAGTATTATTAATTAAAATTCTAAAAATATAAAAATATATTCTAGATATTATGCCATAATTCATCCTGTAAAATCAAGATACCTTTGTACCGTAAGTCAAGCAAGAAGGGTCATTATTGCTATTTGGATCGCATCGTTTGTTGCTGCTATACCAATCATATTTACTCAAGTATAAATATTTATAATTTCGAAATTTCAATATTACATTTTTAAATTTACATAAATAAATTTCTATTTTGCAGATTCACATGAGAGTTGGTGAAAGACAGATCGCGTATTGGTGCGTGAGAAATTGGGATCAACGTGGTCTGTGGCAGATTTATGAGCTTTACATGTTGCTCTTAATACTTATAGCACCGTCAATCATTATGGGCTATGCATATATCCGCATTTGTCATCAGTTATGGATTGTTGTTAAGGAAAGAGCCAGTATGACCTCAGGAGAAATGTAAATGATTTTTGTATCAGCTTTCTCTTCACTTAAAATTGATCTTTAAACCTTTTTTTAGCCCGTGCGAAAATTGATTTCTCTGCTTCTAGATATAAAACAACATATTTAATATAACAAAAGCTGAAATTTTAAAGTAGTAAACGTGAATTTATAATAAAATTTCTTTTTAAAATTTTAATCATGAAGTAAAAAGATGTTCCAGTTCTCGTACATTTTTAATAATATCTCTTTAATACCCTAATATAAGGAGATATGAAATAATAAAAAGGTTGAAAATGAGTCAGAATAACTAATAGTAAGTGCTGTTCCAATAAGTAGTTCGCGTACTGTTTTTAATAATATTTCTTCAATATTCTAAAATAAAAGAGATATTAAATAAAAATCAGGTTGAAAAATGAGTCAGAATCGTGAAAATAATAATTATATTTAAATATCAAAAATTTAAATAGTGTATTTCGATTTTATTACTCGATTATTTTATTCGAAAACTTTCTGAACAATTTTATAACAAAGCTTATTACTCAAAATTAATGCGAGGCGTGTCCCTATTTCTCTAACATGAAATGATTTGTGTCTAACAGATAATCCTTAATTTCAGTTTAAAGTCATTTTTGGCTATTTGCAACACTTCATTCTCTTCTCGTGGGATTTCTATCGTTTGCTAACAATATTGACTCGGCATTACGTGTAAAATTATCCATAATTATGTTAGATATACTATCAAAATCGACTTTATAAAATTACTAAATGATTAAAGTTTATTTGATTATATAATTTAGTTTATTTAAAATAGTTATATAAAATATTTAATTAACTAGATTTACAAAGCTCAATTGCAGAATTAGGATTAGGAGTAAGAAATATGGTTAATATTGTCAAATTTTATTAATTTTATGAATAAGACTGCATTTTAATTTATTAAGACATAAAGCAAAAATACTTATAAGTATTTGCTATGATATCTATAATATCCGATCATTTTAACAAGAAAAATAAATAAACATATGAGATACAATAAAATAAAAAGAAAATATTGTTTTTCTCTATTTTTCTAGGCCAGGAACAGAGTTACAAGTAAGAGAATCGCATCCAAAAAATCAATACTCCACTCAAGTATGTGTAGTGAAACCGAAACCGAAATCAAGCTTTCATAAAATGAATAGCGATAGCGCGACAGTTAAACAAGTAAGATTTGAGTTATTCTCTCGTAAAAACAGCCAAATTGTTATCTTAATTAAACTTAGAAACTTTTAACATCGTATAGAAAGGAAATTATAATGATTAATGATAAAGATAATTAAGCATGTTTTAATTAATTATATTTACGAATGGTTTAGATTATATAATTATAAAATACTAATACTTAATCAAGCAAAATTCTGCTTGTAAAATTTGTTTATATCCTTATAAGAAAGATAATATTAATAAAAATTTCGAAAGTTTCTTTAGAATACTTTTATATTTTATTTAATAATTATAAATTTCGAACTTAGTTTATTTTAATTAAATAAATTACAGAGTTTTATTGCTAATAAATTACACAACAAAATTGTTTTAATATAATAAACTTTTATTTTGCAATATACTATATGTATTTGCACTATTCAAGTCAACCAAAATAAGTTAAATCAGAACAGTGAGTGGGCGATTAAACTGTCATTTACATGACAGTTTAATTTAAGTAGATTAACTTAGTAGTTCAAAACTTCGCAGTAGTAGAAAGAAATTCATTTACTTCTCAATTTTCATCTAAACTAAGCAGTAATATAAAAGAGCTGAGACAACAGATGTTACTTCATCATAAACGATTTACATACAATCATCGAATTTTTTAAACAAATTTTTAAGCCTTTATTAATTTTTTATTTATTGCATATAAAATTAATCATTTATTTTATCATTAAAGTTAATTAGTTGCCAATTTAATTAAAAATACATGGTGGCCCACAAGTCAGCTAGCCATTGTAAATATTAAATTAAAGCCTTACTCACATATTTTATTAACTATATACTTCATAAAAGTTGTTTCAAATTAGATCCTTCTTCTATAATGCTTGAATAAGTTCAGTCTACCATGCACACAGCGTGACCAAAGAGGCTCCCTAAGAGCCAGAGCCTGTCCTTACTTTTGTAAATAAATTAAGAAAAATTCAAGTACAGGAAAAATTTGAATGCGAGAAATGCACTTATATACATTTATATCAATATATGAGTTTCCTTTATCCACGATGCTAGATTACTCAATACTAATGGTCGCTACTGATCATCCATATTCACAGGTATGGCAGGAACTTCAAGGATCCATAAAACGAAGTACAGTTAACTAAATTTTAGGCCACCTTGTATATTATTTTCTTATGTGGGAAATTATTGAGTTGATTGATCTGTCCATAAATATATAAAACATTCAAGTAAGATCCTCATATAGAAAAGTATGTTTAACTAGCAGATCCCTCCACGCGTTGTTGTGGCTCAAAATGAATCTATTATAAATTTATAACACTTTCCCGTGGGAGGGGAAATTTTTCCCAAAATTTTTTCTTAGTGTACATTCTGTTGACGTACCCTATTAAAACGCAAAAAAACCGCATCTGAAATAGTATAAATAGAAGCAGAGTTCTTTACGGTAAGCCTTAATCCTAACCATCTCCCTTCAGTGGGGGAATTTCGACACGTATATTATATAAAAACACGTGCGTATTCGAATGCAGCGTTGTGTCAAAATTTCAAAGGAATCGGTAGGGACAAACGAACATTACATTTTTATTTATATAAATAGATAGAAGATGATCTGCTTTAGTTCATTTTCACAGAAAAGCGTAATGCCTCACAGAAAAGCAAACTTAGGGCGTCGTACTCGTAGCGCCATCTGTTGGACATAAAAGCCTTAACCTAGATTATATATTTTAATTTATATGAATGTTTAACGGAATAATATACAGCCTATGTCCACCCTGAGGTTCCATTCTAAATATTGGTGAAAGAATTTTTGAAATCGGATGAGTAGTTTCGGAGATTAACTGCTGCAAACAAACTTACATACATACATACATACAAACATTACCTCTTTAATATTAGTATAGATATACACTGGAACTAAACACATTTTTTGTATATTTTTTCTTATTCGTGCAGTTATTTAATATAATGAAATATATGAGACTTTATTCCAATCAAAGCAAAATATATTTTTCTGTCTGGATATTGGTTTTTCAGGTGGTTTATAAACTAAGTTCTATAATCCGAATGATTTGTTTGCTTTTGCTGTTAGTAATGTAATGTATTAGCGATATAGAATAAGACAAATTCTGCTATTTTTATCCATTTATATAAAAAAGGATTTACTTACTTTATTTTTATATCACTTTAATCCGAATTTTCTTCGAGCTAAAACAGAAAACAATTCTTAATAACAGTGGCGTAGCGTGGGTGTCAGCCGCCCGGGGAGGAGGAAAATCTTACCTCCCTTATTTAGGTATCACAATTTAAAAGACCAAAATTCAGTTTCGTCACAGAATAAGTAATGAAAAATTCCGTGTTGCCACCTTATTAAAATCGCTGACCAATAGTAAGTGCTGTTCCAATAAGTAGTTCGCGTACGAAGTTCCTGACGCATGCGTATGTCATTTTGCAATGCGAAGAATAATGTGCAGTGCATGCCGGTTCTAAATCAGTTACAGTTACGACTAGGGAGACTTGGATAGGAGTAACGCAAGTGACCTAGCTGTATTGGATATTGGAGGTGTATATATATATATATACGAATAAATCGTACAAGCAAAAACAAAAAAAAGGTCAACAGGTTGCGCACGTTATCCCCGGACGGCGAGTCGATTCCTGGAGTATCCGGATGGATGGTAACACTATTCCGTGCTCATTTCAATCGGTCCGAGTCGTAGGTGGACGAAAATATGAAATAAAATGGTTCAAATTCTTACAAGATATTATTATTATTTATTGCGAAATTTTGCCGCCCCCTAAAAAGTGCCACCCGGGGCGGGCCGCCCCTGCCGCCCCCACTACGCTACGCTACTGCTTAATAACAAAAATTTAACTTATCCAGCTTATTTTTTTAAAATAATTTAACTTAATAAAAGTAACATTCTAGAAAAATAAATATAATCAGGAATAATTTCTAAGTCTGATCATTATTATTTTTTATATTATTTTGCAGGTAATTAAAATGCTGGTGGCTGTGGTTCTGCTATTCATTCTATGCTGGTCCCCGATTTTAATCACTAATGTGCTAACGGCATTTGGCATTGTAGATGAATTAAATATAGGACATTTGAAGCCGCTGAGGACGGCTTTCCATCTTATGTCATATTTTAATAGTTGTGTCAATCCCTGCGTTTATGGATTCATGTCACAAAACTTTCGCAACAGTTTCCAGATAGCCTTGAAATCATGTCTTTGTGGAAGGCAAAAGATTAAAGGACAACCATCAGTAAATCGTACCACAACCACTTCTGTCAATTATGGAAGGTCTACATTCATCACCTGAAAATTACTGAAATTTAAAAGGAAACGTAAACAATAATATTTATTGAGAAGGAATATTAAGACTGAAACACATTAATTTCTCGTGAAGAGAGTCTGAATAAAAATAAAATCATATTTATGAAAGGGCAATATACACGACATATATTTTCAAAATCAATTTAATTCAAGAAAACATTTCCAATACCGTGTACTGTAAATGTGTGTAATTATATGTTTATATGTTGTATACATAATTATGTATCAAATATTATTTTAAAAATATAAATAAATGTTATATCTATTGTATATTTTTAACAAGTATGTCGAATTTACACAACATGGCGTTATCGGCGGGTTTATCTAATCATGACAAGATGGCTACGCTATAGTGTTAGCTTATTCTTCAAGGGATCCACGTTCTAGACTACCAACCCCATAATTTGGGCAATACTGACCAAAGTGTTGTTCTTTATGCTTTATCAACGCTCGTTGACCCCAGTGCGAATTTGGCTTGCCCGTAATGGGCGTAATTGGGCCTTCTATAGACTATAATATGCAGGTATCTCGCGGTAATTAATCAATCAACCGACCAGTAATTATGTTGTGGAAGATGCGGATTCGTACCTGATCCAAACTTTTGTAATTTATCATGGGCAATATGGGTTAGGATATCGTTTTCCATCCCTCACCCATGCTGGTCGACCACTCTGAGTGTCAGGCCTGACAGTAACGGGCATAATTGTGACCTGCAATATAGCTTATGATGTGCATATACCTCGCATTAATCATTTGATCAAACACCCACCTAATTATGTCATGTTTAAGACTAATCAATCGAAGAAGAAAATATAATTTAAGATGAAGGGACCAAGTCAGAGTTAATAATTAATCATTACTTTCTTTTATCTGTACCTTTAAAATATGTATGTTTATAGTTTCATTAAAAAGTTTAATAAATTTGAGATAAAATTTACATTTTTAAAAACTGTTACAGATTAAATAAATATAACTAAGAAAAATTCGATTAAATGTAGCTCTCTGCTCGATAAATTACTGTACTGAATGTGTCAACAAATAAGATATATTATAATTAGTATGCTCCATATAACGCATTATGAATATAAACAAATAAATTTTAGTTTAAGTCGGAGAATATTTGTTAAAAATCAGAACAATTAAGCACACAAAATAATATTTTAATAAATAAATTAAGAAAGTAAATATGTTCATCGTAAGAAGTCAAGTCTCCATATTAGAATTCACTTCTCGTGTCTAATTACCCAATGCCAACAAATTTAAAACTCATTAAATTACACATTTCATTAAAATTACTTCTGTAACAATTTAACTAAAACAATTTTTAACGTTTTGCAAGTTTGAATTCTCGTTTTGGTGTAAGCTATTTGAAGTCAATGACATTATTCGAAAGTATGGTTCATAATTCTCATGGGATCGGGAGCTACTGGTTAAGAAACTTAGGTGCCAGAACAATATTGTTTGTGCCAGACAAACAGAATACATTGGCAATAAAATGAGGTTTCTACATAAAAGAAGTTTACAAATAATTGAATAAATAAATAAATCATATTTTTATCAGTTTCTTTATTTTTATGAAATTCAAAATATATTCGTATAAAATTATATCCGATTTTTAGATAGACTATCTTCAAAATATTTTTAGAATTTTATTAAAATTATTATAAATTTATCCAAAAATATTTAATTCGTATAACAAATAAGATTTTAAATTGTTTAAACAAATTTCAACAATACATTGATTGATAATAAATCAATTAGATTACGTATAGAGAGATAAGTGACTTTTAAAGTCAAGTCACTTATCTCTTTGAGGCACCGATACTCCACTAGCGTAAAAACCTTCACCGTAATTGTTTTAAATCACGTGACCTATTTGTGTTTTCGCTTGTATTTTGGTAAAGATCTTGCTCCACTAGTAAAGTTCTTACGACGACGGTAACTTGTTTATGAACAATTTTACATCGTACTGTACATGTAATATATCGCTTTAAAGACAATGATTATATTCTATATTTTTTTATTTTTGTATTATAATTACAAATAATATCTTTACGTACCGTACAGTACAGTACATATATTCACTTATACAGTATTATAGTATTAAAATACTATCAATATATTGCATTTCCTATGGCCGTCTGCGTGGCTTGTTTTTGACATCTATTTTTATAATCGAAATGCCCCTTGTCGTTGATACAAGGATATTTTCTGACGTTTTCAATAAATCTTTTCGGTTTATTCTAGACATTTCGCAGTAATCATTCTAATGTTAAAACTAATTTTAAAAACTTCACCTGCACCAAAACGGTAAGAGCCAGAGATAGAATAGAACAAACGTGAAAAAGCTCATTTCCCGCAATTTTCGCACAATTTTACGATGACATAGAAATGCACTGACTTCCGATTGGTTGATGATACCGTTTAACGGAGGTATTCGAGTCGAAAGTTGAACACTGCTCGACTTGCTTAACGCTCGTTTTACGCTCTGCTCATATATCGTGGTCACGTCGTTAAAAATATTTACCACGACGGCTTTTACGCTCATTTTTATGCTAGTAGAGTCTCGACCTAAGTAATGGATCCTTATACAGTTGTATAGGGACTCATGTTGTCAAGAAGGATGTAAAAGGTTGGTGAACAAAGTATATACAAAAATCGAATGTATATTATTGTGGTATCGTCTCAATACAAGCTACAGTTTTTAATCATATTTTAATTTATTTAATTTAAAATATACGCTCTCGATCTCAAATTAGTAGTGTCTTTCCCCTGTACATCACACTTCTCCTGATAACTCTATATTTTTTTATTTTTGTATTATAATTACAAATAATATCTTTACGTACCGTACAGTACAGTACATATATTCACTTATACAGTATTATAGTATTAAAATACTATCAATATATTGCATTTCCTATGGCCGTCTGCGTGGCTTGTTTTTGACATCTATTTTTATAATCGAAATGCCCCTTGTCGTTGATACAAGGATATTTTCTGACGTTTTCAATAAATCTTTTCGGTTTATTCTAGACATTTCGCAGTAATCATTCTAATGTTAAAACTAATTTTAAAAACTTCACCTGCACCAAAACGGTAAGAGCCAGAGATAGAATAGAACAAACGTGAAAAAGCTCATTTCCCGCAATTTTCGCACAATTTTACGATGACATAGAAATGCACTGACTTCCGATTGGTTGATGATACCGTTTAACGGAGGTATTCGAGTCGAAAGTTGAACACTGCTCGACTTGCTTAACGCTCGTTTTACGCTCTGCTCATATATCGTGGTCACGTCGTTAAAAATATTTACCACGACGGCTTTTACGCTCATTTTTATGCTAGTAGAGTCTCGACCTAAGTAATGGATCCTTATACAGTTGTATAGGGACTCATGTTGTCAAGAAGGATGTAAAAGGTTGGTGAACAAAGTATATACAAAAATCGAATGTATATTATTGTGGTATCGTCTCAATACAAGCTACAGTTTTTAATCATATTTTAATTTATTTAATTTAAAATATATGCTTTCGACTCAAGTAGTATGTTGCAATTTTTGAAAATTGCAGTTCAATTTCTTTAAATTATTTAATTTTAATAATTTTTTACAGGTATTTTTAATAATTATTATTAAAGATTTTACATAATTTTAAATAATTTTTAGTAATTGACATTAAAATATTAATTATTTTATTTGCTTATGAATTAATTACAGCACATAAATGACATTTAGAATTTAATATTCATTAATGTTATTTATTAATAATTAAATAACAATATTAATGAATATTAATTTTTAAATAAACATGTACTATCAGAATTCGTTAAAATAAAAGGTTAATTGATACTAATATATACAATTTTAAATCAAACAAAGTTTTTAATTTATTTTTCAAAACTGATTATATTAAACAAACATGTTTTTAATTAAATTTAATTAAAAACATGTTTGTTTCACATAGTTTTATTTCTAATTATAAGCACGGATTTTTCTTTAGAATGATTGTAAAACTTTGATTACTTTTGTTAGTATACAAAGCGGTCCAAAAGTCAGTTAACCGAACTATACTTTAAGACATGTTATAACGGTTAAAACCGGTTTGAAGTGGTGTGCTATTCAACTTCTTTCAACAAGGGATCGTCCATAATAGTGCCGGCAACAAAACCGGTTTTCGGTAAATCCGATTAATCGGTTTTGAATAGGCAATGAAATTGTCATCATTCTGTTTACTTGCTCTTTTTTATTTTTAGTTGGCAGTGAAGTATACTGGGATTTAAGATAATTCCACATAACAGATATATTACTTGAAAATGTCAGTGTAACATTACAATTTGTACTGTACATAGTACCAATTTAAAATTTTACTATCCTTGAGTTTATTAACGTAACACGATGTATAATAGGAAAGTAGTGAAAGTCGAACCTTTATTTTATTTTTTACCTGTATCACTTTTATGTTATATTAATTTTATGTGGAATTTAACAAAATTAATTCTCCGATATGTTTTTTAATACTTTGCGTAACTCAATTTAACTTACAACTGATCAGATTTTCAAATTAAGGTTCTTCAGAAAAAGTGGCAAAACTAGTCTCAATAAGTAGTAAAAATATTCTTCTATGTCTTCTATAGCTTTTTCCATTTTCTTGGGCATCTTCTCCCATAAAGCCTGAGAGTACTTGAGCTATCTTAAACATGATTTCAAATGACTAATTAAAAACAAGAATTTTTAAAAATTTGAAATACAGCCGCTCGACGTAGGGAAAGCGAGGAACCGACGTAGGGCATAGGGCTTACTACCCTGATTTTTGTAAGGCTGTAAAAATAAAAATTTATTGAAAGAGCTATTATATAAAATATTTACCATTGATAAAACTGCAAACAGAAAGCAATTTTTTTTTTGAAGTATAACAAAATTGCAATTTTATGACCATGTGAAAAACTTTCAATTACACTAATAACAGAAAAAGCAGAACAGCGCGAATTAACCTTCAAGTTCAGTGCTGTCATTTCAAAAACAGACCACTTCCGTTTGTATTTTCAAGTTCCTTCTGCAGTCCTTAACAAAACAACGTAGTGATGTCAGGAACTTAGGGATCCGGATCCTAATCCGGCTTCAGACACTTTCCTCTACTCGCGTTTAAA